TTATGAACGAGGACTGATAACTAGCCAGAAGATTATGTGAAATCTTGCACTAGTTACCATCAGCAGAAAACAAAAAAAACTCTAAAAAAATAAAATACTGCCTCTTAAGAGTATAATTGTTTTTGAGTTAGAAATAAGATATGTGTTTGTTTTATAGTAGTTGTATATAGAAATGGCCTTCGCATAATAAATTTTCTTTTTATTCGTCTTCTCTGTTCTAAGTTATTGTCCAGTGCTATTACCAGTCACTAGACCTCTTAGTGCGAGCTCTATTGCTGGAAACCCCAAGGGCCAATCTTATCCTTGAAACCCCTACTGCTCTAAATCAGTCCTCCAGTTTATGTCTTCTCCCCAAAAGACATATTCCGCTAGACAAAGTTCCTTGGAAGAAAGAAGCTTCCTAAAAAGACAATTTTCTACGAATGGAGGTATTGTGAGAAAGAGTTTTTTTTATTCTTATATTTTATAATTATTATATGTTATACTTTTTAAAAAAATTATTAATAAAATAAATTTTATTAAAAATATCATTTTTTAAAATTTTAAATAATATATATCATATTTTTACTTAGTTATTTAATAATTTTAAGATTTTATTTTTTTGGGTTTTTTTAAAAGTATCTTTAACAATTTCATAAATTATATATACAGTATATAACAAAACTTTTTGAAGTTTTTATTCTTTTGTTATTCAAAAACTATTGTATAAAAATTAATAAATAATATATTAAAATAAAGCTTAAAATCTAAAAATTATAATAATAAAATTTTATAATTTTATAAATTATAAATTTTAAATTTTTTAAATTTAATATATATATTTTTTTCTAAAAAAAAAAAAAAATTTAATAATTTTTAATTTGTAATTTTTTGAATTTTTGAATTTCAATACTTTTTTTTTTATAATATCAGAAATAAAATATAAAATTCTATAACTTTATAAATTTAAATACAAATAACTTAAAAACTAATTAATAATAAATATAATATTATATCTTTTTAATAAAAAAATTTTAAAAAGTTTTGTTATATACTGTATATCTTAAAAGTATATTTTATAGCTACTTTGTTTTATTTTTATTTTATTTATTTTTTTTTTTGAAAAGAGCAAATGGCTATTATGCTTTATTATATTTATTATACTTTTACTTACAATGTAAGGTATAATAATCATTAGCACGACATATGTCTCTCTTTGCTAGGAAGAGTTTAACGCAAGACTCTTATATAGGGCCCGACCCTGTGCTCTTTTAGCACCATTTAAGGAATATAGACAAAAAGAAATTCAAAAATCTATATTTACTTATGAATGGCGTCCAGCTACCTGGAATTAAATGAATATCCAATCATATAAAGGTGCTACAGCCAATCTATACAGATTGGCCTTCAAGTCATAATTAGGATTGGCATGCCTACTTTTCAAATATGACTTAATGTACAACAAGTGGAGTGGTGTCGGAGGTGGTAGAAAATGAGTACTTTTTTGCATGAAGACGTTGCAGCCACTTTATACAAGTTTGTCTCCAAAACACAAAAAGAATTTAATATACCCATACTTCAAGTATAGTAAAAGTGTTCTATGAGTAAAGTTCTTATTGGTTTTCTTAATAGCGTCAGAACCTAACCTTATACAATAAACCTATATTGTCAAAGGGATGAGCAAAAAACTTTCATTATCATTACCAGCTCATATTGCAGGGGTAACTAGAATTTCTGATCATTACATATTACTCTACTAAGTTTCCTAATCACCAGCATGACACCTGCAACTAATCTAGCTTATTGCTAGTTATATTGTCATTGGCTGCTATTTCACTTTGGATACTGTAGAGTGCAACTCCTTGGATACTTTTGGATAATAATAGTTGTACAGAGATTTCTTGGACATATCTAGTCTAACTGCCGATCAGTAAATAACACCAGGTTTGGTAATAATGATTATGTTGATCTTTTGAAGGGATAAGCCATTCATCTTTTTTTTGAGAAGCCATGGAAGAGAGAAAAATTCTTAAAGCCCACATCCTAAGAAAAATTATCATTTTTTAATATGGTCCTTAAGAAAAGGGAGTCAATTGACCAGAGGAGTGATGTTATGGAGACGGAGTTTTCAAAAGAGAGAGAGGCCTAAAAAGAAAAACCTTCAGGGAAAAGGGAAAAACCTAGCTTTGGCAAGAAGAAAAAGGGAAAAAGGAAGGGAGGGGTGAAAGTAAAAAAAGAGTATATAAAAGAGAGGGGAGAAGATAAAAGAAGAAAAATAAAGAGGTATGGGAAGGAGGCATAGAGAGAAGGGAAAGAGGAAGACAAAGGAAAAGTAAACAACTCAAAAATTTCCTAAAAAGAAAATTTTCAAGTGTAGAAAGGGAAGTGGAAAAGAGTTTTTTTTTAGCTACTTTGTTTTATATAAATTTTTTTTTTAATTTACTAATAAATATTTGATATAAAAATTACATATATATATAATTTTATTAAATTTGAAAAAATTTTTTTAATTCTTATTTATTTAAAAAAATGCATACCTTTATTTGAATACATTATTATTATAAAAACAATAACTTAAAATATTATATAGATTCATTGTATATTTGGTAAAAAATTACAATATATTAAATATATTAAATAAAATTTTTTTAAAAAAAATCTTTTAATATTATCTAATACTTTTGTTTATATCAATTCATTTTATAAGTATTTTTAACAAAATTATTGTTTATAGATTCACCCGATTTATTTTATTTTATCATAATGCTATCGTTATAATGAATTAATTAGATTTACAAATTCTCTGATAACGATTAAATACTGCCAATTATATTTATTCTATTAATTAATAAGACAAATGTAAAATGTAAATAAAATTCATAATATCGAGAAAATAAAAATACAAGAAAATGCATTTGAAACAGTATATTAGATAAAAATTTTTAATGAATAGAAAACACGTGACGTTCATAATACTTTATAGGGATAATTAAATTATATCGATTCTACTATATTTGTATAATATTTAATCGAATTTTTTTTTTTATCAGATGACTTCTCGATGGCTATATATGAGGACTTTATTAATAAATGTACTGCATTAATTAAGTATACATAGTTTACTTTGGTAAAAACTCTGCCACAAATAAGATATAATACATAAAAATGTTTTAAAACAAATTTAATCAATCAACTCATAATTGAAGGAATTGTTTTGGAACTTTAGTTATCGCACGATCAGGACTAGATATAGTATATGTTGAAATAATTTGTTCTTAGTGAAATTTACCTCGAATCTTAATATTAGATATGTATATCGTTCGTTTATTAATAATGGGCTTTTCTATATTATACAGGAGAAAAATACATTAAAAAATTTCGACTAATTAAACAGAGCATTGCAAATAATTATCTACATATCTTATTTCTCTTCAAAAGAAATTGTTTAAAAAAAAAAAGCTTCATATTTCATCACCTTATAATTATTATGCATGTTTCAAAGGAAAACTTATTAGCAAATTAAATCATGCCAAATCCTGCGGCGGGTAAAGCAGCAATAGGTAAAGCGGCAGCAGGCATGGCGGCAAGAGGCAAAGCACCCATGGCTCCGGGATAGGCTAAGCCCATTCCCATTCCACCACCTATAAATGGATCAGCGACACGTTTAACGAGCACAAATGGTTGGGCATCTTGAGTAGCACTTGGGTCGCGTTTTTCAATGTCTAGTTGTTGCGGAGTATTTGTGTCGATGTCACGTTTCTTCAAAATCGGAACGCCACCTAGACCACCATAACCTAGACCTCCATAACCTAGACCTCCATAGCCCATACCTCCATAACCTAGACCACCTAGACCACCGTAACCTAGACCACCATAACCTAGACCACCAAGACCGCCGTAGCCGCCATACATGCCAGTGCTATAACCGGCTTGATTTTGATATCCGGCACCGTAACCTCCGTAACCACCGAATCCACCACCAAAGAAACGTTTTTCCATGTCTTGCGTGGTTTCTGCAGATGAGGTGACAGAGGATGGATTGGGTTCTGCTACTGGTTCGGGCTCTGGGTTGGCGATAGGTGTCGACAGGACGAGATTGGCGAAAAGTAGGAGGGTGAGAGCAAGGAAAATGTTGAAGCTGTGGAATTTCGACATCTCGTTTGAAGCTTCTTTTTTTTTTATTTTGACGGCTAATAATGAAGATAACTTTTATTTTCTTACAAGAAACTTTTGACGATGCGAACAAAGCCTAGAACGGTTGGTTAAATAGCGTTCACGACCGATCGCATGATGCATCGCTGCATAGCATCACTAGATAAGTCAAGAAAAAAATGAATTAATCTTTCCTTTAGCATCGTACATTCCTTTGTTAGGAAAAGTATTATTGGATTGAATGGATAAATTCATGCGATGGTGATGCATTCGGCGATTTGAGGGTTGATATCGTAAGCGCATATTTTACCGAAAACCTTGGTGCATTTAATGCATATCCGTATTTGATTACATATTGCATGACCGCAGATCCTTTCTCTCACGTTAAGTCAGGTGTAAAATACGTGTATCACATGACGTTGTTTATCACAGGTTCTTGCGAAACCTACACGC